ATTTTAATTATTCGTCAAATTACTTACTAACATGTACACTTGCTGATAAAGTGATTAAATTTTCAAATCACAAGAATAATAATCCTATATTTTTCTTATAGAATGTAATGTCTTTGGAGAATATCCAATTTAGATCATATGTATCTAATAAGTTTGGTTATTAGCTTACTTATTTATTTGTATATATCATCCTTTCAAACTGAGAACAAATCTTGTTTCTCTAGACAATTAATGCTTGATTTTAATTATTCGTCAAATTACTTACTAACATGTACACTTGCTAATAAAGTGATTGAATTTTCAAATCACAAGAATAATCCTATATTTTTCTTATAGAATGTAATGTCTTTGGAGAATATCCAATTTAGATCATATGTATCTAATAAGTTTGGTTATTAGCTTACTTATTTATATACATCATCCTTCATCTTTCAAACTGAGAACAAATCTTGTTTCTCTAGACAATTAATGCTTGAATTTAATTATTCGTCACATAAATTATTTACTAATATGTATTACTTACTAACATGTACTAATACGTACAACTAATTAGTAATAATATGATAATAATATAGTAATGATCAACAAGAATATCAATAATCAAAACGGGTATAGAATTAACATTCATTTTAATTCTTGTCCCAATTAGTGTTGTCTAAAGATTATCCTTGGTTTGATTCGACTTTCGTCGATGCAATATGCACGTAATTTTATCTGTGATAAAGATTAGACAGTCTGAGAGGGAACTTGCCTTACGAGATAAAGAGACAGTTAGCTCAATGGAAAAGCACGAATGGAAAGCGTTGCGCGATTGCATGGATCGTTTGGCAGTTCTTCGAATGAACCACGTGCCGGTAAACACGTGCTATATGTATGCAGATAGCGTGCCCCTCCGAATTAACAGGTGCCCTTGAAGGAAAGAAAATTGCAAGGATAGGCCACGTTGTTCGGCACTCATCGATTGTACCGCGTGTGCAGCAACATCCTCGAGAACGTGTTCGCGCTCGGACACCGGTCGATCGATCTCTTTTTGCTCGCGAGAGCTGGATGCACACGATCGCCTCTTTCTTTACCGATTGAGCTCTTTACTTTACTTTCTTCTGATCGAGCGAGCAAGACACGCGATCGAAACATACATGCGAACACCGCTACCCCTACACAACATCACCTTTTCACATTGTCTTCTCTCTCTCTCACTCTCTCTTTTATCATTGACATCTCAAATTCTCAGTACAACGAAGAGAAATTCTGCAAACTCTGTTAAATATTTACCTGTTATCGAGGAAGGTACGATTTCTTTTGCAAAGCATCGCGTTTGTTCGCGTTTAATGATCAATCGACATTCACGTGACGGAATGGTTCATCCAATAACAACGATATTAACAAATGTGATATTCCGTTTCTCGATAAAGATATCGTATTATATCTTCTCGATTATTTACATGTTAAAACGTGGAAAACAATATGATACAAACCGATAAAAGCTAAACAACTATCGTGCATTCCCTGTTGTTTGGAACGAATCGAAATAAATACTCGCGTTTGTTTAAAGTATGGACGAATTTATACAAAGGAAACACATTTGTTCTTGTCCTACAAAGTAATTGACAAACGTGTGAGAAATGACACGGCGTCACTCGACAGAAAAAAAAAAAGAAAGGGAGAAAAAAAGAAAGAAAGAATACGTTGCTGCCTAATGCAACGTGATCATCAACACTGGTATTTGATAGGAAATTACGAGGCGATACAACGTACGCACGAACTCCTCGAGCAACGGCGCCGAACTGCAACGAAATTTGTTCGCGCTCAACTCGTTCGCGCATCCTACGTTGCGCATACATACTCGAGAATTAGCGGGTTAGTGAAAGCATTTGAAAAAAAGTAGGAATTTCCACGGACGTGATATTAATTGGTTCACTGCAGAATTAAACGGGCATAGATTATAAAGAGAAACGTAAAAAACAAATTCTTATTTATTTCACATTTTTCATACATATGAAACGTTAAAATTTCGTCCTTAACTGTAAAATACGCATCTGTTGAATTAAAATGCGAGAGCAAAAATTAAAAATCCATGAGTATGTACAAATACTACGATCGAAATACTTCGTTCGTAGAAACGAGCTGTTACATATAACCATAAAACCAATTAAATTTGAATCTTATCGCGTAACTTTTCAGAATCGATGGTCTTTATATATCAGAATGAATTGAAATTCGTTACACAGATACAAAAAATCTGAACCGTATCGTAATAATTTCTGAAATTACGTGTTAAATACATGTCTCTTTCGCTGTTAAATTAATTAATGTACAATAATTTACATTCATATATGCACAATAATTGTATGATTTACACAGTATATCAGTTCAAAAAGAAGCTACGAAGAACATCAGCCTATTGAATTGTAATCACTGCAGAACTCTATCTCGTTATATGTTTCAGCTATCCAACCAAGAAGATATTTCACTTTCTCTGTTGTTTCATCTGATGCTTTAAAATCTGTTACAACTTCCATTAAACATTTTGATAGATGCTTCAATATA